TTCCCAAGATGTCACTCCAGGGCTGCTGGTGGCTGCAGGGATGAGCCAGCAAGGCCCAAAACCACAATTTAAATGGTGACAAAGGCCCTGTGCAGGGTACAATCCTTGGCCATGTGCTGGGCCGGTAGGGCCTGGTGCTCCCGGCCTGTTTGGGGTGTCACAGGGTGGAAGTGGGGGCTCAGTGGGTGCCTGGAACAATGTGAGGGTGTGGGGGTGTCACACACACTGTTAGTGAGCCGCCTCCTTGGGGACTGTCCCCTGAATGCTCGGTGGTGATCCCCCTGTTGTCACTTTTGCAGCCCCCATGCCTCTGCTCCTCACAGCCTCCCCCTGCAGCCACGCTGGGGTGCAGCTCCCCCTCGCTTTGTCATCGCTGCGTTGCCGTGCCAACGCCGTGGCCCTGTCCCTGCTCAGACACTGTCACCGCTGGGCCTGGCACAGGCAGCACCAGCCGGCACCCACAGGTAGGCTGGGGAACGTGGGGGAGCAGTGTGGGGATCTGCCTTCAGCCTGTGTGGGGATCTGCCTTCAGCCCCTCCAAATGTCACTCAGACCCTCCTCAGCTATGAACTGAGAGGAGAATTCCCTCCCCTGCATGAGCATGTAGCCCCCATGGAGAGCAGAGACAGTCCCTGGCATTTTGGAGAGGCCACCGTGAGGGGGGCCCGGGCTGAACATGCATCCTCCCCCCAGAGCATGTGGGTTAACCAGATTAATCAGAGAAAACTCCCTGCCAAATGTGAGGAGCGCTGGATTTGCCCTGGGAAGGGGGAACTGTGGATGTGCTTGGGGGTGCAGGGGAGACAGAGGATGGGAGGGGAGCAGGCAGGTCCTGGAAGGGGTCCAGTCACCTCCAGTTCTCCCAGGTCTCAGTGGTGGTTAATGGGCAACTCAGAGTATCCCATTCCCACAGGCATGCCCTGTGTCCTGCTGCCAGGCCCTGTGGCTGGGGGTGTTCATGGCCTGTCTCTCCATCCTCACTGCTGTTGGGGACTGCGTTTGCCCTGTGTGACTGCAGCAGGGCCAGATGTTTGCATCTGGTGGGAGGGCAGGACAGGGCTACATGGGTCCCCATCTGCAGCCCCCAGATGTGCCAGCAGCCCCTCGGTGTGATGAGAGTTTGGGGGAGGCTGTTGTGATATGGGGGGAGCCGGTGCCTCTCACTGTCCCCCCAGCCTGGTCCCCCTGCCCTTCCCACAGAGCACCCCATGGCCCCAGGCAGTGAGGCTGGACACAGGCGGCCTTTGCAGTGCAACTTAATGGGATAAACCAATTCCCTTAACCCATTTATCTGGCTGATCCAATAAAGGTGGCTGGGAATAAAATGTGTGCGTGGTCTTAATGCATTCCCCCTCTCCACGCTCCCCCAGTCCTGGCAGCATCGTGGGTCTGTCTGCCACAGCTGGCAGGGGGCTCCTCCCCAGAGGCAGTGCAGAGGGGCCAGGACAGAGGGGGGACGTTGGACCTGCTGGCTCTAGGGGCCGGGGAAGAGGAGAAGTGGCTGTGACAGTGGTGGAGGTGGCTCTGATCCATTGAGGGATAGCCCAGCACAAAGCACAGAGCAGGTGAGTTGTGGGGGCTGTGGGAAGGGTTTCTGGTGTAGCTGTGGTTGGGTGACACCCTGTGTGTGTCCCCCACACCAGCACAGATGTTCACTCAGCCCCATGTCCCCAGGGGCCATTGCTTTTACCATGGAGGGGGTCCCTTGCTTACCCCTGCATTTCCTTCCCCTCAGGGTTTGGGAGTTGTTGTGGGGTCTGCGAGTGGGTGAAGGTGGGACATGGGATGGGCATGGAGGGAGGAATGAGGATGGAGGGATGGGGATTAAAAGGATGGAGGCAGGGACAGGCACAGAAGGACAAGGATGGAGGGGTACGGATGGAGGGGCGGTGGTTGCAGGAGGGCTGGGGCAGGAGGAACGAGGCACGCAGGACACAGGCAGGGCAGGAGGGTTGGGAAGAAGGAC